TGTAAATATTATTATTATTACCGTATTATTTACTAACAATATTAAAATGATAAATTATCTAGATACATAAACAGGGAATTTTTTAAATTATAAAAAATATAAATAAAAATTAATTTAAATAAAACTACAGCAATGTCATTGTATGAAATAAATATAGCAAATAATAATTTTAATTTAAATACCAAACAAGGGTTCTGTGGGGTCGGCGATAATCTCCATGTCGTCCCCATCGGGAGCGACGCCATATTTTTTGCTATTAACAATATGGCGGCCAACCTTGTTCATCAGGAATGAGTTCCCTTCGCCCTGCTTACTTACGCCAAACACCAGGGCCACACGCCTGTCCCCCACTTTAACCAGTATGTCATCCAGGCCCAGCCTATTCAGCACGTACTGACACTTGTCACTATCGGGCACCTCCACAATGTCTATGATTAGTACCGGGTCCATTTTGGGTGTACTAACTACTTTTATGATGAAAAGTGCGTTTTATTACAAAACGTACATTTGTTTCAATAATTATTATATTTATAATTAAAAGTCTCAGTTATTGCACACAATATTGTAAATACAGATATGAATGCATAATAATGTTATGAAAAAAATTGTGTGATTATTGCACACCAATCATCATAAACTTGTGAAGTGTTAGTCATATCGCCCTGGTATTAAATATCATATAATTTCAAAGAAATATCTCTTATTTATATAAGAGATTTATAAATATTTTTATGGGAGCAGCAAGGTAGTTTGTAACTTATACACTGTTTCTACGAAATTACATTAATTTAAATATTAATTTTTTATATAACTGTATTATTTATGTTATATTAAAATTATAAATTCAAGTTTATTTATCATATAATTTATTAAATAAAATTAATAAAAATTTATTGAACAAAAGTCGACTTGGTTAGTTTAGTTACCTTTGTACTGAACATAAATATTGCTGTCTATATCTTGCTTCACGACTGCAATCATATAAAATAAAAATTATAATTTAATAAGTTTTCGGTAATTTTATTATTTATAATATTTTTATAGTTTAATAAAATTAATTATTTTACACAAAACCTTGGTAAATAAATTCTGAAATTTTTGGTAAAATTATTATTACCAAGAAAAATTAAAATTATATTTACTTTTAAATGCATGCTAATTAATATTAATTGCATGGCTAACTTGTGTAAACTGTAGTACAAAACTATTTTAAGCAAAAAGCTGTTCCCCTTATCATTAATTTAATGTTTAAGACATACTATCATATGGTATTTGATATGAACGTTTACTTTACAGTCAAAACACACAAACAACTGATAAAATGAGTGAAATTCACTGTCACTAACAGATTATTATACATTAAAAGTGGCATTTTATTAATATTTTTAAATATTATTTTATTATATTATTTATTTTGGGGGAGCGTTGAAAAATTATTAAAAAAATAAAACATAAATATTTGCATATAAATATCATTTTCTACTATTATATTTTTACTATTATAACTAGGATTTTTACCAGGAATAAAAATTATATTATATTTTAGTCTTATACAAGTAATCATAAAAATAAATATACATTAAATTATTTTATTTCCACAACATAAAACTAAACTATGCATTTTGCATTACAATATATAAAAGTAGTTATATTTTTATTAAGCATGCATATTTATTTTAACAAAGTTTTATAAACTGTATTTTTATAAAAATGACAGTATAAATTAATTTATTTTAGCTTGTTCAATTTATGCAAATAACCATCTATCTCAGTAATAGTAGCATTCTTTTTCTTGCTAATTATATCATCAACTTTAGCCTTTAAATCTGGATCTACCTTGTCCAATTTAACCTTTAATAAGCTATCTAAATTCTCCTTGGCTTTATTATTCAAGGTAGCTTCAACCTGGTCAATTCTAATTGTAATTTTCGATCGCAATTCCTTAAGTTCAACTTCATCTGGATCATTTAAATCGCCCACAGCCTGTAAGTCGAGCCGTAACTTATCGCACCGGCTGTTCATATTTGTCAACCGCCCCTCCTTGCCATCGGTGGCCAAGCCTTCGACATCCGCCTCCAGTTCAGTCACTTTCTCATCCGTCCAGCGCAGTTGGCATCGCTCCGGTATGTCATCACCAGGTACATCTATTAGCTTGCTCACTTTTTCGTAGCTCAATTCGCTGCGGAGTTTAGCCTCCACTTCCTTCCAGCGCTGTTCGAAGTTGTAATAACTGTCCATAACGTGTAGGTGCGGTCCGGTAGGTATGACTAGTGGTAATATAAATGTTGTGTAATTTATATGAAATAAAAAGTTGTTTTCATATTTAATTTGATATCATATTTAATGCTTTGAAAGCGCAGTCGTGTTCAGTACGGTTTAGTATTATAAATATTTTTATTTTAATGTGTTTCAAACATTACGTAAAATTAAATAAATTCATAAACTTTTTCAAATCATTTATTAAAGTAAATAAAATTATGTTTACAATTAGCACAAATAATTTTAAAGATTTAATAATTGTTAATATATTAGAATTTATATAAATTATAAAAAGCATATTATAACAAACATTATAAAATATTTTAGGTTTATTTAAATAGTATACTGTAATATAAAAATAAGTTGCTAGTAACAACTTTAACATAAATTATTATAATATTATAATTAATATTGTTTAATAATTATAAATAAAAATCTATAAAATATTTATCTCTGGATCAGTTTATCAGTCAAATTAAACGTATCAATCATTTTCAATAACTCCTTCTTTTGTGAATCCAATTGTTTGCCATCTTTTCTCACAATATCCTCACAAGTCGTCAGTTTATCCAAAAGTTTTGACTTTTTAATCCGATGGACATCACTATTAGCGTCCAATCGCTCGCGAATACCGGCGCAAAAGGCACTGAACTCATCTACCGGCGCTGCCCTCCTATTTATCTCAACGGGGGGTTTAGGCACAGACTTTCCCGGATGTAACACCTGTCCAGTACTGGTGCCGGGTATCGGCTTACTGTCCGTATTAAGGGTTTCGACAGGGGCGGTTTTAAACATACCAAGCTCATTTAAAATACTTCGTTGACCCTCGATATCTTCCTGAGTTAGTCGGCATTTATTATCCTTAAGCGTAATCGGGTAGTCATTCCCATACCGGGCCTTTAACGTGGCGCTAAAATGTATATCCAAGGTGTCCTGATCCATATGGTAGCCCACGTGCAACGTGTTCCAGGGCAAAAAAGTATCCCCTAACTTATCGATGGGTCGCCCCCAGGTGGGCAATGGCGGACTCTCAATCCTATAGGACTTAATCTCCTCCCCGGCCTCCAGGATGGCCACCTCTATGGGAAAGTTGGCGGCGCTGACATTGGTGACCACCTCCCGTTTTTGGCGATAATCAAACACGCTCACATTTTGGTCCATGAGCTCGTGCGTTTCCGACTTGTTGTTCATGTACAACATCATTTTAATGGGCATTTTGATGACCTCCCTGATGTCAATAGCGTCCAACCGTTTCTCCAACATTTGTCCGTAATATGCCGTCCCTCTGGCGATGACATCCCGTGGGTGGCAATCGTATAGTACTGACCGCGGCTCGAAGTGGGCGGTGATGTGCCGCTGAAACTCTGGTAGTCGAGCGGAGTGGCCGACGACCAGGATTTTCGACAAATACGTGTCGCTGAGGGACAGTTGGTTGATGATAAAGTCTCTTATTATTGGATATGAGCTACCAGTTCCATGTGTGCGAACTTCTAATAGGTTTTCCACTGACTGGATGCCATAGGACAGATACTCCATGGTACTATTACTTACCTTTATAACACCGTGCGCGCATTGATCATGGTCCAACGCGAATACCATAATAATCTCTTTAGCCTTACTGTCCATAGGGTTGTCGATTATGTAGGCTATCCCTGCGGCAGTAATCTCGGTAATCAGGTACGTCTTATCAAACCCGGCTATTTTTGCTACGTCCCTAAGTATAGCCCGCTGTCTGATCCGATAATCCGTGCGTATCGTAAACACTGCCATACGTACGGCGTGTTTCATTAAGGTCTCGGCGGAATGTTTAATATGCAACGCCTGTAGCGCCACCATTGTTTCGACGTTAAGACGGTGCACTGTGTCTTGGTCAATTTGTGGCTTCAGATTATATCGGAGCGGATTTTTAAGCCAATCCCTGAACGGATACCGCATGAGCTCCGCCTCATCCGCCCAGTCCTTCCACAGTAGGTCTTTGATGTCGAATGAGCCGCACGTGTCGGCTAAATAACCTCGAGCTTCGGCGCCAAATATAAAGCTGTTTTTATAAGCAATAGAGTTATCCACGTAGTTTTCGCCATTAGTATCAGGCACGTATTGGACTTTGCCATTGAAGTAGGTACCTATGAGAAAGTCACGCGCCAAACAAATGCCCAGGTAATTTGTGTCAGTTACTTTTAGAAAGTTTTGCAGCTTATACTGATAGATCTGAGTGTACAATTTGAATTTCAGTTTGACGGCCTTTTTCTCTACGATGGCCTCCACGAGCCCGTCATCCCAGTCCTGTTTGAGGGCCGTTATGCGCGACTTTTGCGCGGCCATAGTTACGCCCATTTCGTATTCAAGGGTTTTCTGTAACGAATCCGTTTTGATGAAACCCCCACTCATTCCCTTTTTTACGGAATGGCAAAACTGGATGTGCATATCGCGAGTAATATCGTTGCTCAGGGTAAACAGCCTCGATACTTTAGCCTTATAATTAGCCAGTGTATCGTGGTAAATGGTGTCGATTTTTGCATGACACGAGTCGCTGCAATATTGTGTCAGATCATTTTGAGACGCGTTAAAATTACACGATACTTGTAATATATTCAGTATCATTTTAGTCAGTGTTTGGTGAATGGCCTCGATATATAATAACGAATAATACCTGGACTTTAATTTTAGGGCTAATATGTGCTCGTACAAATCGGTGGCCTTATTAACCGCTTGCACGGCTATTTGTTTTTCACCTTGATAAATATGCTCCAGTTTTTGATTAAAATACGACATAGTTTTACCAAACATAATTGCCAATTTTTCCATTAAATAAACATTGTCCTTTACAATCGTGGGCACCGGTACCTTGAATTGCAACTCGGTCAATTTTCCAGCATTGAAATACCTATCGACAGATATTTTTCGGCGGCAAACCTCGCGGTACTTATCGTTGCACTCGTAAAGGAACCGGTATTTGTCGGCACAGGTAGTCATATTTGTGGTCAACTCTGACCGGTATTTTTGGCGATGAAATTGTGACAAATATTTTGACTTTTCGTTGAACGCGTTAATCGTATCGTTGTTTATGCGCGTGAATAGCATGTTATAGTGATTATCCAGACCATTAGCATTAATATCCTGGTCAATCGCCGCGTTCATACTATCGTTGAATTCTTTAACACAATTCTCAATTAAATTCTTGTATTTCTTGGAGTTTTTGTTCACCAATTCGTTGATAATGGCCTTACATTTGGTGTCCTCGTTGTCCATCAATTGACCTAATATTGTGCCGTAGGTTTTGATTAGGTTTACCGGCTGTTTGTTACTGAACTCCCTATTAAACGCGTTCATTATATCCCGGCGTATATTCGTTGAGATTTGGTTATACTTTTGGACATCAGTCTCACCCGTAGTCACATCCATTGATATCCGCGTTTGATAATGGTCAATTTGTTGCCTGATAAAGTCATCAAGATGTTTTTCATCAACTTTTACTTGTGTTGTAATTGGTAATTTAAATTGAGTTTGTTTAATAGGTTGTTTATTAATATTATTTTTCTGAACTTGAACTTTATTATTATGGTCAACATTCGTGTAATAATCGTTTGTATCCATCATTTCAACTTGTTCATTTTCAATTTCGTAAACTATTGGATACTTAATTAGGCTGTCAACTAACTTAGCCTGCTCATTTATTTCCACCGCATTAATGTCGAGTTTAATTTCATCTAAACGTGCCACTCGAAATACAGATTTATATCTGTCCGAGACACTGGCGCTAATATTAAAATTAAGCTCATTTCCGATTTTATGATCCATGGTGATGAATATGTACAGGTTACGCCATTTATTATTGTAGCCTGGAAAGTTATTTATCAGGTACCTTTTAACCACACACTCTGGACCCTCCGTAATAAGCAAACGGATGGGAAATTTTATATCATCAGTCAGCTTAAATTTTGTGTACGTATTTGTGCTGGCTAATTCGTTGCGACGTAACAGGTGCGCCACGGCCACGTGTTTGCCGTCGTTAAACTCCATGTGACACATGACGTCGCGTAACACTACGCCCGTGATCGGGATCAGTTTACCGTTATTTTCGTAGTGATTGCTGTATAAGACGGCACCCCTCGTGATCAGCGAGTCATCATTTATTGTGATTTTCGAACAATACTTTTTTAGGGACGGCACGAAATCGAACTTGGTGATTATACTCTGGTCACCTAGAAAATTAACATATTACGTTTATAGTGAAAATTTAAGTGTTAAACATGTTAAACTACAGTATTGGCGTTATAAATGTACAGAGGAATATGAAAGGTTTATTAAACTATGCCTGTATATGAGTATTTAGCAAGATAATAATAATATGAAGCAGAGTATAATATTACTCATGAAATAATGATATAGTGGTACCTGTTATAAGGCAATCGAAAACTTTTTTCCGTTTGTCAAACAGCTTGGACACCCAGTTTGAAAATTTTTTCTTAATCACCGAATCGTCGCCATTGGTTGCCCCACACTTATACGCAATATATTTGATACTCTGACCGTAGTATTCAATGAGAGCTAGGTCACATTCGTTATGGCTAATCAATATAACAAGTACTTCACGAAAATTAAGATTTCTTTCATATAAATTAGTGTTAAATCCAAAATCTATTACTGCTGCGCTCATCTGGGACAATATATAAGCATGTTCAATTCCCGCTATTTTAGCCGAGTCCTTTACGGCCTGTATCTGTCGTATGGTATAACTCGTTGGAACAATGAATAACACGTTTTGCATATAGTTTTTAAACTCGGTCTCAGCCCTGGATTTCATGTCCAATACTTGTAAAGCAAATAACGATTCGACATTTAAGTCGACACTCGCTTGAGTCGTGTCCGTGAATACGAGCCTTACTTTTACGGGATTTTTCTGAACAACATTTAATCGATATTTCGTGAGATCTTCATTAGTACTAACATCCCGTCCCATTATATCTTTGATGTCATAGGCATTCCCATTTAGGTATAGCTCGGCATTACAACCATAGAGTATACGATTTCCATTAAACGCTATGCAATTAACAGCGCTATCTCCGAATGGATCAGGAACGTTTTCGGCACCACCTTTTTGCCTGTTAAAATAGGCACCGGTAGGTTTGTCGTTAAATTGCACGACAAGTGAATGGGATTTGTCTTTTTTGTCATTATTAATGTGTTTGTATTTCTGTTTACGACAAACTATATTATCCGTAATATACAGCCTATTCTTGTCCACCATTTCCGATACATATTTATCGTCAAAACCTTTGTTTTGTTCAGTAAATGAGTTTTTGATCAACTGTTCTTGGACAGGCCATAACTGACCTAGTACGTTTTCATGTGCTTGCTCAAATTGGTCATCTGTGAGGTGCATACATTTAGCTAATTTATCCCTAAACCGGACGCAATACTCTTTATATAGTTTTAGTGTTATCTCATTCATTGTATTCTTGATGAATTTATGATTGTCGCTATTTACCCGGGAATAGTCTACGTATAGTTGTGCAAGCTTATTTTTGACATCAGCCTGGCACTTTAGGATTACATTAGGTTTGAACGTTGTCAGCGATATTTTGCGGGTAATGCCCGTCCAAACCGTGTCGTACATAGCGTTATGTTTTTGCAGTAATATTTCACCAGTAAATGTGCCAGATCTCAGTAGCTTGGACATTTCTGTTGTATAAAGGTTGTGTGCGGTTTCCGTGCATTTTAGAACTATTTTAATGTTTTTATCATTGATCTCCAAAATGTTGTCCTTGTACAGTTTTATATTATGTTTGGTTAACTCGTCGTATTTTTTAACCAAATAGTAGTCCCCTTGAAATGAGTCCAAAATTGCAGACTTTTCAAGTAAATAGCTATACAAATGTTCATCATTTATGAGATACTCGTCCCGTTGACACAACTGTCCACAATTGGCCTCAAAATCGGCGCATATTTTCCTGAACTCCATGTATTTGAAGGTCTTGTCGGCCATTATTTGCTGTAATTTTGTTGAATAAGATTTTTGCAAACCTTTTAATTCAGTCGCTTTCGACGCAAACAATTCATTAATCGCTTTAACCGTCGGTTTGTATATTTGGTCCAAATTTTTCCCATTTATATAGTGTTTAAAGTTTACGTCAATTTCCTGTCGAAACAAATCCGAGTATTTATCGCCCAATTCAGCCATCAATTGGTCGCCAATATTGACTCGTTTATCGCAAATTGCCTCAAAATTTGTTTTTTCCAAATCCATATCCCTGTCCAGCGATTGCCTACACTCCTGGACCAGTTTGGTGTCGTTCCCCTCCTTGAGGACTGTATTAAACTCATCCATAACTTTAGTTTTCACAGATTTGTGTCCCATATCTAAAGCCTTAGTTATATCGGACTCTGTTTTATCTATAATATCAAAAACACCTTGCTTATATTTTGTTATCAAAGTGGCCAGATATTCATCCAGTTCCTCTTTGGTGTATATATCTGTAGGCTCGGCTCCCGTCTCACTGTCTTCATCACTTATTTGATTGTTTTGTGGACTTTCAGCGACTTTATTGTCCGGTGCTTTTAGGGTGAGATCTGAATCGTCCGGTGCTTTTTGGCTAGGGTCTGATTGGTGCCCATTAGGCACCGGTTTATTTGGCTCAGGTGTATTATTAGTTATTTGACCAGAAAGCGTGTTAGTATCTATTTGATCTTGATCAGATACATCCGTTTCTTTATTAAACTCGGATAACATGCCAAAACTATTATCATGATCGGTAGCTGTGTAATCCAGGTTAGTTTCAATTAATTTAGTCTTTTCATCATCCGTTTGAGCATTGTCATCGGAAATAGCCTGAGCATTTAGCGATATTTTAGTCCAACTATCGGGTTGACTATTATCGGGGTCATTGAAAATTTTAATGCTATTTTCAATTGTATCCATAATATCACCAGTGTTTGTAAATATTTTGCTACCAGGCCAATTATTGACATTTAGGACTTTAGTTTTAATAAATTCCGTAATTTGTTGGACATATTCCCGGTTCAAATCCGCAACTTTCCAATCAGTATATTTAACAGTATCTGTGGGACAGGCGGTTAGGTATGAGTTCTTTTGGTTGAATTCACGTTCAAATTCTTGCGATTCTTTAAATTCTTTAAGAATTTGCCGAAAGTTATCCACAGTTTTGCGGTTATCAAAGAGCTCCCAATTATCGATCAAATCAATTAACATCTCATACGATACCACATTATACACGAATTGATTTTTGATATCCTGGTGAGATTGTCTCTGAAATTTTAACAAATGAACCGGTTAAAAATAAAATTTTAATCATGCCAAAATACTACTTACGCGCAGATTAAGTCGCTTTTGGTTAACAATAAACACAGTGGATATTTTTGAAATCAACCGGAACATTTGCATCAATGATGTATTCTTTATGAGGTCCTCAAACTGATACTGGTAATTTTGTAAGTTAACCAACAGGATTGCCACTTTTTTGCCATCCTGTTCCTTAATAAAGGGTTTGTCCCACATTTCAATGCCTGGATTTTTAGCTTGACCATTTGCTGTGTTGGTACCAATGTTCCGGAATCCATAGCCGTATGTGAGTGTAACATTGTGTGGCCAGTTACCTTGGTCACCTCTTTCCAGGCAGTTTAGTATAAGATTTATAGCAAAGGTGTTGCCCTCGAAGTGTGGGCCCACCACCGATATGATGGCTATTTCATCGCATTGTTTCTCATTGATCTTGGTCAATATACTATTAATGAGATGTTTGTTCACGTGAAATTTGTCCCCGATCAACTCCACAATACGAAAGTTTGTCATTATTATTTGCAAAACATTTGATTTAAATTCTGTGTATAAATAAAATATAAAATATTAATTTAGCATTTTATAGTATAATATTTTTTAACTATCTTAAGTAATCTATTAGTAAATAATAAATTAGAAAAAATATTTTCCCTGTTACTAAATTGGTAAACAAACATGGGCGTTTATATCATAAAAGTTTTAAAATATAAAGTTAATGTAAACAGATATTTTGTTATAAAATAGTTAATAAACAGTAAAAATTAATTAAATTAAATTAATAGTTAGTTAATATCAAAAATACAAATAATAAAAATCACAATTACTTACAATATTTATTCAATATAAACCAATACAATTATTGTTAATTTTATTTTGAACAACAACTTATAATAATTATTTTATGTAACAGTTATTTAATATTAAAAATTTATATAAAATTCAAAATAACATTACATTCATAGTCTGTATACACGATGTCTCTGATTACATGATTACATATACAGACAACTCATTTATCTATTTCTGGTGCCCATAGTTACACATTAATTGCCGAGACATACAGTTTTAGCCAGTTACATTTGAGTGATATTTATCATATATTTAGTAATATAAATACTGTAACTTTAAAATATTACCGAAAACTTATTACTTATAAATAAAACTGGTTTTTGATATTTATTTATACTACAAGTATTTCAGCGACAATAATATTTATGTTTAACCTTTGATTTTGACTATCACATTTAATAGCTTTTATTTTTGTTACCATCAGAGTTAATGTTTAATAATATTTATTACTTATGATAAGTATTTCAAATGCTAACTTTTTCTCACCATACTATTGCACAAAATAAATGTAAATAATTATTTTTATTTAATTATTAGTCATATGTTTATGTAATTTAAATTCTACATACATTTCATAACCGTAAGTAATTTTTTAAATATTTCTATTTAATTAATGCTATGAATATTAATCAAAAATATTAGTCACTTAAAAGTAAGCCATATTAAATAAATTAATATTTATATAATTTATCTATATAAAAAATATCTTTTTAAAATTAACCAGGTTACTAATCCTTAATAATTAATTTTAAAAAATACTTTTTAATTTCTAAATTATTCATTAGTCTAACAAACACTACTTAATACAGTTATGTAAAGTTAACACTCACTTTAAATAATTTTTAAAAATTATCTAGGTAATAATCAGTAACCATGAGTGACAGGACAGTGTTCGTGTTGGACGTGTCGGGGTCTATGGCCGGGGCTAAGGCCCAGACCCTACACCTACAGACCGTGCGCTTCATTGAACAAATATCTGACGGCAATTCCGTGGGAATCGTGTTATTCAACGGCAAGGCGTGGACAGTGCACGGCCTAACACGACTGGCCACCCGGGAGGTCCGCAACGCCATCATTGCCAGTGTCCCGCAAACCGGTAGCGGCTCTACCGATATCAGGGCCGGTATTATGGAGGGACTGTCGGCGTTCAGTAGGGCCGGTGTCAGTACAGTCGGCGCTAATATGTTTTTGGTCAGCGATGGCGGGCATTGCTGTGGGAATCCAGACTACGTGGGCGATGTGTTACCACATTTAAGTCAGGCTCAAGTATGTTGACCATGCTTAGTTTTGTTAATTGTGTTTTAATCTCTCTCTCTCTCTCTCTCTCTCTCTCTCTCGTTTTAGGTGCGAGTGGTATGTGTGGCCATAGGTTCCAGTGCTGACCCACACCTCGAGCGCCTATCCCATGAGACGAAGGGAACGGTATATAACATCAGTCGTGTGGGCGCCGACAGTAAGGAAATGATAGCCCGTATTATGGAGGCAGCGATGCAAGAGGTGATCACATCCAAGGAGATGGCAGAAGTGGTCACCATATCTGTTGTCAACGAGATATTAACCATCGATGACAGCACCGACTCCGCAGAGATACAGGTGCCCATTGACCCTGACATCGGCCGAAACACGCAAATACAGGTGCGATCAGAAGACATCAAGTTTATAGATATTGATATTACCAGCCCTTCCGGTACCACATACATTACCAATGGTGGACAAGTGTTAAAGCGCCTGGAGCTGAAACAATGTCAGCTATACCTGGATGAGACTGAGCCGGGCGTATGGCTTATTAAACTTAATAAACACTGTGGACAGGCTGTTAGGGCTCATGTTAAGGTCGAGAGTGAAGCTACCGGTGTTAATGCCATTCAGATGAATGTCCAGTTGAGAGCACCAGAAGCCGACTGTCCACCCATTATAATCTGTACCCTATCGAAGGCTAATGAGCCGGTAGTCGGCGCTGTAGTCACAGCTACTGTGGACAGACCTAACGAAACACAGACTGAACTTCCGCTTAATAACTATTATGAGGGCTTTTATTATGGCTATTATACTGATTATAGCGGCACCGGGAGATATAATGTCAGCATATTGGCCACCAATAGTGGGAATAGTACTAATTGGAAAGGTATGTAGTTTAGTAACATAATTGTTAATGTATTATATTATAATAAAATAATACTATATTTATCATGACCAGGCAAAGTTACTGGACAATTTCGTAGGCAAATAGTAGCCTCGAGTTTCCAGATCAAGGACTACCAGCCCTCCCAACCCCCAAGTGGTGACCACTTTCAAGAGCTGCTACTTAACAATGCATTTGGAGGGATGCGTATAAATAGTACCTCCAATGGACAGGCAGTCGGTGGTACATCCGCCTCCGGACAACCTACTAGTTTTACATCTACGTCCACCAAAGTTACCATGATCAGTCCACAAATGAAACAACTAAAACAAAAGTTATCAGTCAACTTTGTTAAAACTAAGCGTGCTATTAATGGGTCCAAGTTATCAAAAGCTGACCAGTATAGGTTGATAAAGTCCCTTGCTGATTTTGATGGTGAGCAAGGTTATATATCGTCGATTAAGGAGACCTCTGTGGAGGAGATTAATAGTTATCAGCGAAGACTCGATGATATTAATAGCACAATTAATCTAGCTAAACTCGTTAATGATTCTTAATTAAAAATGCCAATTTAACTTTTACTTTTAATAATTAAGTAATATTTGTATTTTTGTGATATTTATATGTTAAACATTCAATATAAAGATAATGTCCATAGTTTACTAAATGTCAATATAATTTAATCAAATTAACAAAATAAAACAAGCTTATTAAATCATATTTAAATATACAAATATTATTTTTGTAACTTCAATAGTTAAAAAGTTATTTACGTTTAAAAATGCAACAATTTCTTACAGTTTATCGTATATTTGCAGACTAACTTTTCAGCTATTTTTTCAACTTTGTACTAACCCACTAAATCAATTCCCCGTCGAAAAATAAAATGTCAATTTTCAGAATTCATCAATTACGTCATGCCATAACTTCGTTATTTATTGTCAGAAAAATTTTAAAATGTGATTTTTAGTATCAGCATTAAAAATACTGNGTTAGCGATGGCGGGCATTGCTGTGGGAATCCAGACTACGTGAGCGATGTGTTACCACATTTAAGTCAGGCTCAAGTATGTTGACCATGCTTAGTTTTGTTAATTGTGTTTTAATCTCTCTCTCTCTCTCTCTCTCGTTTTAGGTGCGAGTGGTATGTGTGGCCATAGGTTCCAGTGCTGACCCACACCTCGAGCGCCTATCCCATGAGACGAAGGGAACGGTATATAACATCAGTCGTGTGGGCGCCGACAGTAAGGAAATGATAGCCCGTATTATGGAGGCAGCGATGCAAGAGGTGATCACATCCAAGGAGATGGCAGAAGTGGTCACCATATCTGTTGTCAACGAGATATTAACCATCGATGACAGCACCGACTCCGCAGAGATACAGGTGCCCATTGACCCTGACATCGGCCGAAACACGCAAATACAGGTGCGATCAGAAGACATCAAGTTTATAGATATTGATATTACCAGCCCTTCCGGTACCACATACATTACCAATGGTGGACAAGTGTTAAAGCGCCTGGAGCTGAAACAATGTCAGCTATACCTGGATGAGACTGAGCCGGGCGTATGGCTTATTAAACTTAATAAACACTGTGGACAGGCTGTTAGGGCTCATGTTAAGGTCGAGAGTGAAGCTACCGGTGTTAATGCCATTCAGATGAATGTCCAGTTGAGAGCACCAGAAGCCGACTGTCCACCCATTATAATCTGTACCCTATCGAAGGCTAATGAGCCGGTAGTCGGCGCTGTAGTCACAGCTACTGTGGACAGACCTAACGAAACACAGACTGAACTTCCGCTTAATAACTATTATGAGGGCTTTTATTATGGCTATTATACTGATTATAGCGGCACCGGGAGATATAATGTCAGCATATTGGCCACCAATAGTGGGAATAGTACTAATTGGAAAGGTATGTAGTTTAGTAACATAATTGTTAATGTATTATATTATAATAAAATAATACTATATTTATCATGACCAGGCAAAGTTACTGGACAATTTCGTAGGCAAATAGTAGCCTCGAGTTTCCAGATCAAGGACTACCAGCCCTCCCAACCCCCAAGTGGTGACCACTTTCAAGAGCTGCTACTTAACAATGCATTTGGAGGGATGCGTATAAATAGTACCTCCAATGGACAGGCAGTCGGTGGTACATCCGCCTCCGGACAACCTACTAGTTTTACATCTACGTCCACCAAAGTTACCATGATCAGTCCACAAATGAAACAACTAAAACAAAAGTTATCAGTCAACTTTGTTAAAACTAAGCGTGCTATTAATGGGTCCAAGTTATCAAAAGCTGACCAGTATAGGTTGATAAAGTCCCTTGCTGATTTTGATGGTGAGCAAGGTTATATATCGTCGATTAAGGAGACCTCTGTGGAGGAGATTAATAGTTATCAGCGAAGACTCGATGATATTAATAGCACAATTAATCTAGCTAAACTCGTTAATGATTCTTAATTAAAAATGCCAATTTAACTTTTACTTTTAATAATTAAGTAATATTTGTATTTTTGTGATATTTATATGTTAAACATTCAATATAAAGATAATGTCCATAGTTTACTAAATGTCAATATAATTTAATCAAATTAACAAAATAAAACAAGCTTATTAAATCATATTTAAATATACAAATATTATTTTTGTAACTTCAATAGTTAAAAAGTTATTTATGTTTAAAAATGCAACAATTTCTTACAGTTTATCGTATATTTGCAGACTAACTTTTCAGCTATTTTTTCAACTTTGTACTAACCCACTAAATCAATTCCCCGTCGAAAAATAAAATGTCAATTTTCAGAATTCATCAATTACGTCNGCTATTTTTTCAACTTTGTACTAACCCACTAAATCAATTCCCCGTCGAAAAATAAAATGTCAATTTTCAGAATTCATCAATTACGTCATGCCATAACTTCGTTATTTATTGTCAGAAAAATTTTAAAATGTGATTTTTAGTATCAGCATTAAAAATACTGCAATCTAAAATTATTTTCATCCATAAATAACGAATTGTTGTCATGTCGTAATTTATGGGTTCAACCATCATAAAATTATTTTTCAAAAGTGAATCGATCTAGGGTATAAGTTCAAGTTTTGAAAAATTGTGCATGTCATAATTTTTATTATTGCAAAAATCACCTTATTGCCATTCGAATCTCAAGAGTTTCTCTTCATTATCATAAAGTAGACTAGGAACACTATTAAAATAAGTTTTTATACTCTTGAGATTCTTATGGCAATACCATTGAATTCACGTTTATATTTTTAAAACATCATTTTCTGGTACAAGTTTAATATTTAAAAAAATATTTTTGAATAGAATTAACAAGGCTTATATGTATATATAATTTAGTGAAG